ATCCTGTGTCACCATAAAGAAATTTCAACAGCTGGTGACATTCTTAAAACAGTCAACAAATGAAAGGATGTGAAAATGTTTACTCTTCCTCTTTTCCCACTGATTTGGTGACACCTGATGTCCCTGTTGATGTGTTTTTAGGGAAGTGGGAACAGCAGCTCCTTAGCTGATGTCGGATGACTTCATTCCTCCTATTCTTCCTGTTGTGTTGATTGAGAAGCTGCTGATTTACACCAGATGAGTATCTGCAGTGCAGCTAAACTACAGTGATATTGTCTTCAGTATGGAAGCACTTGTAGCCTGATTAAAGCTTATTGCAGGGTATTAATTTAATATGTTCAAGTACATGTCCTAGGTTCCTGATAATGTCATTTATAGATCCTTTTCTCTGGTGACCTCAAGGCAGGCAGTCTGCAGCTCCATTACCCTATTTCAGCGGTCTTTGGAATACATAATATCCTAATTTCCATACAAGAAGTATAATTAAAATAACAGCAGAGCTATTGTCTTGTGCATGGATGCCTTGTATCCAAACCTGGTTTATTTATATGTTTCAAAATAACGGGATCTTCCTATAAGAACTGCTCAGACTGCTCAAATTTAGTCATTTTCTCATCATAGAAATGGCTCTAAGTACATGAAATGATAGTCTGCCGTCCAGACACCTGATTTCAGCAGCAGGAGTGCATCAAATTATTTTAAGTTTTAATAAACAATTATGTTAATGAACAAGAAAGCTATGATAAAAATCTTTCTTTATTTTGTTTTGTTTTAATGTTACACTGAGTAAAATACTTATCATTAAAAACAATCTGGGAAGGATACCAATACAGACAATTTCAACAAATTGTCTTTGGTACTCTAATTAGATGGGCAAAATATAAGAAAATCAAAAGCACACACTGTAGCTACCTTGCATGAAGGTCCTGCAGGACCTTTTGCTAATAGAAACCTTGCTCTGGATGATCTCTTATTTTCCTTCCATTTCATAACTCTCATTGTTCCAGTGGCAAAGCAACCAAGGCACATGCAGATGAAGAAAAAACCTCAGGGACACACTGGCATTTCCATTCCTTATGTAAAAAACAACTGAATATTTTAAGCCCAAGTGTTTCAGCCTTGCTTCTTGCATATGCATAGCTCTCCATGACAAGAGAAGCTGTGCATGTAGAAACATTTCAGAATGAGATCAATCTGGATGAACTGTGCTCTGAGTAGAAAAAAAGACTTTCCTCTTTCTGAAGTACCAGTGGATCTGCCATGCTGGTTTTAGAGGGAGACTAGCTGCGAGTGTAAATCAGCCAGGAAAGTTACAGCTGAAATCACTGTGGAGCAAGGACTGGAATGCATCTTGGAGTGGAAAGGATGACAGTAGATTTGACAAGGCCAAGGACAACAGTAAAGGCCAGGGGATCCTTGCTGTAACATCAGGGGAGGGTTAGGCTGTTTACCTGCACATCAGTTCAAATTCAGCCATGCTAAACTTGGAATGAAGCCAGATTTATCATCCATAAAAGATTTTTCCCATTCCAACGTAAAAGTTGTTATTATATATCTCTTAAGTGAGCCATAATTAATGATGTTCCATCATATTATACACAGGAAAAAGATACTTCAAATGTGTCATTTCTAGAGCAAGCCTGCAAGTTGTATTTGTTCAAATGATTTATTCCATCGCATGCCTTTTTAATTACGCTCTGATTTAATGTTTCAATTGCTAAGAAACTAAAAGCAAGTTATTTGAAAGTCTAGATTTATGATTAGAAGTCATTCTTTGGTTGTTTTTTCTTTTTTTAAAGAAAGGTCCTTTTTGGAATGCATCCTTCCAATTTTTGTCCATCACAAACCAGAAAGCTCATGACAGTACAACTGCTGTAGAAAAAACTAATGTTATTCCCTGGCCTGAGTTAACCTTGACAGAGATTTGTCTTTACATTGTGATTGATTTGCACTGATTACTGAAACATTACTTGTTTCTCAGTCGTGTGGGACTCTCTCTATCTGGTTTCAACCTGAACCAATCCAAAACAGACCCATAAAAGTGCTGTGAAGAGTTTCTGTTTGAATGTGTTTACGTTTTCTGGAAAAGCCTTTTCCTGCATTCATGATGATGTTTTCCTTTTAAATTCAATTTTCTTCAAGGAAGTAGGAGGGGCTGGGATATAAAGACCATTTTGAAATATTACTATTTCAGAATGTGCAAAAAGAAGTGCAAAATCCCATCTCCACCTTATTCAATGACTTTTCTGTTAGTCAGCCTTATACTGTACTTTAAAACCTCCAGAAATTTGGTATGTGTAAGAAAGCCTGATGCAGGATTTTTTAAATCATCATTCCAGCTCACAGAGCCACGTTTAATATACATGAGCTCACTTACTGTAACTACAGCTGCTGTTTATAATGTTCCCTTAACTAACAGAAAGTTTAATTTTGAGAGTGTATCACTGTGCATAAGTTTGTAATGTTTTTTCCCATGTAACTGTTTTGTTTTTCCCATGGAGTGAACAAAGATTTCTGCCTCCAAGCAGAGACCACGCAGTAAAAAAGACTCTCAAGCATGCTTTCAGCATACAACGACTCTGCTCATCTTTGCATAATTGAGTGTTGTAGCAAATAGTACTTGCTAATGGTAGTAAAGATGACAAATGCAAAGCTGCATAGCACTAATAGGAACCGGAATATTAAACTATCAAAAAATTAACACTTTTCAACTTCTACCAGCAGTTTTATGATACTAATTTAATCGAAATGAAGCTATAGAATAGTCCTTTGTGCATCATTAAGCGCTCTTCATTCATGCCAGCTCCACAGTGGGGAGGCCTAGCAGGAATCTTGGGGTTTGGGATGTGATGGAGGACTCATTCCTGCCTGTGTGGATCAGCTCCCACACACAGCACTGCCTGCACAGGCTGAAGGATGCCTGTGACATCTCAGGGTGCTTGCTTAGGGAGATGTTTCTTACACATCTGTACGCACAGTAATTTTCTAGGAAAACCAGTGAAATGAAACAGAATGTGACTTTAACAAGGAAAAGATTTTACTAGAAACAAAGAATGTTTCCTTTCTTCCTTCAGTATCTGTTACCCCTACCCCAAAGTGTAACTTCTCAGAAAATCAGATGTCAAATGGCATGGACACATGCTTTCAACCCCTGTAGATTCAGAGACATCATCTAACAATGTTTAAATCAGATTCAACAATTGACACTGTAAAAGTGGTAGTTAAACAATTAAAATGCCAGTTCTTCCTTTTTCTTTTTTCAATTTGTCTTCATTTTTATTCTTGGCCCCACACAATTTCATACAAGGCGATGATGCACCACGCAATAGGCAGCTGGTACAAAATACAGTTACTATATGGAAAACTTTTTCAGCTTTACACGTAATCTTTTCTAACGTACAACAGCTCAGTCATTGGAATTAAGCTGAAGTTTGCTAAAGATGAATAAAAAGCAAATCTTAAACAGTCACACTCATTTTTCCCTGTGTTCTTTTCTTCCAAAAATATTAATAACACTTTCTTTAGCTGCATTTTAGCAAAGGGATCTCATTTTGCTTTTGTGATTTATGAATTCAGTATGGGATTCACAGAATTGGAAATGAAGACAATAATGAGGGCCTAAAAAATCTTCCAGTGCAATGCAGCTGTACAAGCTGCCATTTTAAGATGGAGTAATATGTTTTCAAATTGTCCTATGATATTGAGAAGCAAAAGCAAATTAAATTTAGAATATTTCAGTGTACTTCCATTAATCATAAGCTTGTATATGACAAAATATTAATATTGTCATTAGTTCAGGTAAATTAGTGCCTGAGTTGATATATGTGATCTCTGTAGCCTTACTGGCTTCCAGAATTTTAGGATCTTACAGTCTAAAAACATCCAAACGCTTTATTGAGGAAAAGACAATATTGGATCATCCCTACCCTTGTAGACATTCCTCTTTCTAATTTATTTACACTGTTTTCTCATTGCTTCCACAGCAGTCTTCATCCTGTAGGAATAACAAATTCTTTGGCTGAAGGGACAGCTTTCTCCTGAATGTAGAAACGCATTCAGCTGCCTAATAAAAAAACAGCTTTCATCCTCTTTGGGATGAACTGCTTAAGAACCTCCTTCAAGTATTTTTCTCCTTTTGGTTAGCACACAAATTTTATCTTTTCAAAGCCTGTAACTTTGTTATGGTATTCCAGAATAATATCAGAATTAATAATTCTGAACCAGTATGTAGATATTATATCACTGCATATTATTGACATTCAGATTTCCTTAAGATATAGAGCCGAATTATCCTCCAATCTATAATGCTAAAATTCTGTTAATCTCGCTGTTGTTTCCATTACCTTGTTGCTGCTATTGAGATGAACAGTATTGAAGAAGATTCCAACGTGAAAGAAATGCAGTCTAGGCAAAGAGGGAAATTCTTCTGGATGTTTCCAAAAACTTGTCCAGGGAAAATTATGCCTATCGTGAATATTTATTTGCTATCTTACAAACAGTTACATACTCATTTTATATAATTACAGTTGCATGTATTAGCTTACTTCTGGGAACAAATGGATTCCCTAACTGCTTCTTCATCATCTCAGTCAGTTCACCTATCTACTGTTATTGTGGAGTACAATGAAGAAATCTTTACCACAACTTTCGGCCTTCAAAATAAGAACATGGGCATGGATAGTATCTCGCTAGCTAGGTGAACCACCTTTGGTTTGATCCTCAATTTCCAAAATTCTCTGGAAAATATTGAGTTTATATGCGTATGTAGGGTGCAGCCCTTCTGTGTTTCATACTTAGTAGCTGATTTTAGCATGTTAGATTTGTATGCTTCTCAGGAAACTTTGGGGGCTGTGTTTCCAGCAACCATAATGAGGAGCAGGATCCCAAGATTGGCTTTGGGATCATCTGGTGATAAAGTTGGATTGCTAGACACATATGGTGTTTCTTAATGCTTCCATGTTGGCTATCTGTTAAATGTTTTTCTTATTTGTCTTTTCTAGGAATTTGTCATGATTGTTGTCTTTGGTTTGGAATTTATTATTCGTATTTGGTCTGCTGGATGCTGTTGTCGATACCGAGGATGGCAAGGAAGACTGCGCTTTGCCAGGAAACCATTTTGTGTAATAGGTGAGTGTTTATTTTAACATAAAAATGAAAACACTCCCTTCTGTTTTGCTTCTAAATTGAAACCAATGGAATCAGGTAGTTTACAGTCACCAGGTATAAATCCAAAATAGCTGTGCGTCAACTGTCATCCACCCAAAGAATCTCTAGATATAAAATCAGAAGGTTCCTAATTACCAGTCAACGTGTGTTTCTTATGTTCTCCAGAAGACATTTTCTTATGCATGTCATACACCTGGCCTGTGTATTGGAATGATGAAGGGCTGAGCGCTGTTCTCACTGGAAACTGTGGGATTTGTGTGCATTTAATTGCCACGAATCTTTAGACATCTTTTATATGAATAGACACTATGCGCATACGCATGTATGTTATGTGTCCTTTTCATTTAAAATTTTTGTAATTACAAATGCATAGATTTAATTGAATTTGAAAGCCTACCAAGAAACAAATATCAATCTGTCTTCTGACAACATTGCCAATTCTCCATTGCTACTCTCTGCATAGGATATAGTATCTGCAGGTGTTCCAAGAGTCTCTTTTTCCCCTTTTGCTCTAGAAATTCTTTCTGTAAATGATAAATAGACTCACAACCAGTCAAATCCTTATTTTTAAACATAACCTGCATGAAATGAGTTTCCCAATAAAAGTAGAAATCACAAATGTTTCACTAATTTAATCTGATAGTTTATTGTTTTTCTAATTATATGGAGGCAATGCTTTTCACAGAATGCCTGTGGAACTTCAGGATCTGAGCTTCTTCTCAGCTTGTCTCTAAATATCTTTCCTCTCAACAACCTTTAATTTATCTGCTTTGTTCTGTTCAGATAATAAGGAAGATGTGTCATTATCTTATCCAAGATCATTAGGTGCCAGGTCTCACACACTTGCCCCAACATCAAATGTGTCTTTCTTCACGAAAGCAGGAGCTTTAGAAATTGTATAGAGAGCAAGTTACTCTTTATAGTAGAGAGACATGAGAATGGAGGTGTTTTATGTCACTAGAAGTCAGAATGTGCTGGAAGAGCAGTCCTCCTACAGGGGCCACCTGAAACCACCATGGGCTTCATAGCTTTGAAGAATAGCTAGAGCCAAATAAAGCAACAAAGCTCGATCCTTTGTAGCATGTGGATCAGAGTAGGAGATAGGAAAGGTAATCATTATTTAGGAAAGAAACATTTCAAAAGTATCAGGAGTGAGAGCTACTTGAGAAGAGAGTACTGAAATCTTACTGAGATAGGTCAGTAATAATTACATACTGTATCATGTAAATATCGAAAGAAGAGAGAGGAGACACTGATTTGGTTAAAAGCTGTGGTGGGACCTTCTTCAGTGCATGTGCACTGGAAGGGTGGGTTGAGCAGTGAATAAGCTGGTAGACATGAGAAGTTCAGAAAGTAGCTGGAGAACCAATAAGAACTGAATGAGAATATGAGAAACAAGGGAAAAACAATTTTTATGGAAAAAAAGTCAATAGAACCAGAGTAGAACTAGGCCGCTAATGTATTGGGAGATCACAGAGAAATAGCAAAGGATGAGGATAATGAAACATAATGTCAGCACGTTCCTTTCTGTTTTCAACCTTTATTATCAATTTACAATACCACACCTTTACCATATTTCACATTAATTCAGTTACAAAAAATGCACAATAGAAACATGCAATGAAACCGTTAGTGGAGAAATGTTAATTGTAAGGGACTGAGCATTAATTGTGGCTATGTTAAGATTAATACTTAGCTCATTTAGATCTAAGCAAATCTATCCATTTTTCTTTGGTAGGAAAAAGGGATGAATAAACCTATGATCTCTGACAGTTCTGTTTTCAGAAGAAAGAATGCGGCTATTATTTTTAAATATCCTTGTGTACATCATTTATGAACTCATGGAAGTAAATGTTCATTTATATAATTTATTACTAAGGTTTTCCCCTCTGGACCCTGATACCGAGAGAGGCTGTAAGGATAGTTGAGACCTAATATTACTTCACTTTATATTTGATGTGGAAGGAGTTAATGTTCTAGAGAGTTTCCCAGACTTCTCTTTGTGATCTTGCTATCAACTTTCCCCTCTGTCTTTCCCAATTCCCTTGAAATATCTCATTCATACATCTGATGTTATCAGCTGATTAGTTAATACTTTAAGCAAAGTCCTTTAAAAAAGCCTTTAAATACTTTTTCTGAGAATGGTCCAAAAGGCACCAAGATAGGAATAGTCCCTTGCTACATGTGGTAGCAAGCAGCAGTCAGGTACAGCATGGTCCTTTATGTTTTTGCTAATTACAAAGTCCATAGGAGATCAGCTCTGGTTGTGGTACAGTAGTGCGGCATATCTCATTATTTTGCAATCTGAATGCTCTGAGAAAGGACCTCCCATAGCAGAGAAGAATAGTTTTATGAGTCAAATATTTTTTCCCAACTATTTTAATCTTCTGCAGAAAATTTACTTTAGTAAGGTAACTGCACCAAATATGTTCCTTGTTTTGCTGTGTTCTGAAAACGCTTTTAGTTTATAACAGTATTTACTTAGCAATTGCTGTTTTTCTCATAAATTTCTGCCTGTTACAACTTCTATTACATGTGGTTTAAGAGGAAGGTAGCTGTTCCTTATTGTACATAATATTTTTCTGTCTTCAGTTGCTCTTCCACTGTTGCTGTGTGTCTGTTATGGAAAAAAAATTCTTAAGTCCATCCATGTAGTTGGCAGGACTTGAGCACAGAATTTCAAAGCCTCAGCATTACACAAATTCTCAATATAAATTTGGTTTTTGAAACTCTCATTTCAGAATTTTTTTAAGAAGCTTTAACTTAGCCCATGTCTAGTAATATAACATTTTTCCAGGACAACTACAATTTCTGATAGTCTGACAAGCTGGTACGGTGTTGTATGTATTTCGGCTTTAGCCTGTTAGTAGTTCCCCCACAGCTGCTTCTATTTTATTTCTTGTCAAATTATAGCAGGATGGAAATGTCACAAGTTCACATTCTGTTGATGATGCAGAATGAGCGAATTCCCAACAGGAAGCTTAAGTTCATTATTTGTAATCATTAACTTCATGGCTGGCAAACCACATCTCAGAGCATTAGATGATAGCAGTGGCAATTGTACGTTACTGGAATCTATTTTTTGTTAATTAAAGTGGTAACGAGCCATCATATGGTACTTCTGGCAGATCTTTATAAACAAATCCATATCTGAAGTGTTGCAAGATCTGTTGAAACTTTAATTTATTTTAATTCAACGTCTTTATGTCATGATGTGTTTTGTGCCTTGTCACCTTGATATTTAGATACATAGTACTGTTTAAATGCAGCCAGATAGTAAATGTGCTGCTCATGATAAACAATATAAACAGTCCTTTTCTACTATAATTTGAACTTTAAATAACCCAGTGATGGTCTGTTATTAAGTATATGCTTGACCAAAGAGACACATTTCACATTGCATCTCATTGTAAATCCCAACCAGACCAAGTTCCAGCAGGAGCAAAGTTTTTTGTGGGGCATTCTCCCAACATCTGCTGCCAGCTCAATGCTGAACTTATCTCAGGAACACCCTGCCCTCTTCATTATAGAAAACCTGCTCACAAAAGTAGTGTTTAGAGTGGAAACTGAGAAGTTCCTTGGATGCTTTCAGCAGCCATAGTTATGTGCAATGAATAGTCACTCTTTATATTTTAAAACTAATATTTAATGGAATGTCCTCATATTTGACAATCCTTGCTCCTGAGCTCATGCTGAAATTTCCCTCTGGAATGTGTTGAAGAATTGAACAGCCTATATTTGTTAATTGACATGGGTCTTGATTTCACCGCTAGTATCGCTATCGTATTATGTGGAGCAGAGAAGTGACCGACATGGATTGGGCAACCTGACTCAACTGTTTTTTTTATATTTTTTTCTTTCCCTCTGAGGAGCTGTGGGGTAGTGACACATTCCATTTTCATGAGTCTCAGGGGCTGACATTTTTATATGAGTGCTGAGCATATTCTGTGCATCTGCTGAAGTGTCTGATGGCCAAAGAAATCAGTAAGACTAGTGAGTTGTTTGTTTGTTTTTTTTAATTAAATGATTTTTTCATTGAAAAAATACTGATTAACTGAAATCAAAATTATTTATATCAACTCCTCTTCCCTAAGGAAAACTATTTTATATTTAAGCTGGATCTTTTTATCATCAAAATAAGAAGGACCCTTTCTCCCAGTCATCTAGAGCAGCTAGTAATCCAGTTTCTGGATTCTAGATAAAGTATAGTTAAATGTTTGTTTGGGCATATTTGGAGCAGGAAATCACCATCTCTCAACCTTACTGAAGTTATCCAAACATCAGTAAGTAACTCTTTTAGTCCAGAGAGAGACGGTGGTTACCCTGTCACCTGGTTGTGTCAATTGTACTCATTTTCTATGGAAGAAGTTCTAATTTGGCTTGTCCGAAGAACAGACATTTGTAAAAAGCGGATTCTGGTTGTGCAAATTAGAAGAGATCCACACCACAATGGACAAAGTGAGTTAGAGCATGGGATTGTGAAGGACAGCAGTGAATCACAAAAGAAATACAAAATTGTGATAAAGCTTGTGTGTTAAAAGCCAGAGACCTCTTACTATAAAGCGAGTATTGGTGATGTTAGAATTACTTCCTTAGAGGGCTGTTGAAAATATTTTCCCAAGTATTAGGTGGTTGTGTCCATTCCAAATAAGACTGATATAAGTTAGTACCTGAACTAGAATGTTCAATGATTCCTAATTCATTCATTTTTTACTGGGAAAGTCTCCTGAGATCAGTATCACATGATTAACACAATACACTAGTTTGTACACATTCATTCAGATTCTGTAAATTATTTGTGGAGTCTTTCAAATGATTTATGATCTCTCATATTTGAATCTCACAAAATCTACACATATAAGAATTCTGAATTATTATTATATATTGTATGTTATAAATACATATTATAGAACTTCCAGTGCCTCTTGTGAATCATAAGGCTTCAATGACTTGGAAAATTA